CTTACCCTAATCTGTCTAAGTGTTCGTCTATGCTTGAATATGTTCATGCCGATGTTTGGGGTCCTGCTAGTGTTCCTACCCACGGGGGTAGGAAATATTTCCTTTCTATTATTGATGATTTTTCTAGGAAGGTGTGAGTTTGCCTTTTAGAACACAAGTCTGATGTGTTTGTGAAGTTTAGGGAGTGGAAAACCCTAGTTGAAAACCAAATTGGCTAGAAAGTTAAAACCCTTAGGACCGATAACGGGTTAGAGTTCTGTAATAAGGAGATGGATAAGTTGTGTGTGGATTGTGGGATAAAAAGGCACAAAACTTTGCCTTATACTCCCCAACAGAATGGGATATCAGATAGAATGAATAGGTCTCTGTTGGATAAGGTTAGAAGCATGTTAGCTACCTCTGGTTTGTCTAAGAAATTCTGGGGTGAAGCAGTTACTACTGCTGCCTATTTGGTTAATAGGTCCCCGTCTGTCCCTCTTGGTGGTAAGTGTCCTGAAACCGTCTTTACCGGTAAGCCTCTTGATCTGTCTAACCTTTGGGTGTTTGGTTGTGCAGCGTATGCACATCAACAGGGTGACAAGTTGGATCCTAGGTCTAAGAAATGTGTCTTCCTAGGTTATCCAGAGGAGGTAAAGGGTTACAGTTTATGGGATAGGAACCAGGTAGGCTTTAAGGTGGTCCTTAGCAGAAATGTGGTGTTTAATGAAACTGATTTTCCTTGCTTGACCAAGTCTGTTTCTAATCCTGAGTCTAGGTCTGATAGTACTCCTAGTGAGGTGGAGTCTGTCCCTGTTGCTGTTAGTCCTTTATCTGTTGATTCCGTTATTACTGATGATATTGTTATGCATGATTCTGATTCCTCTAAGCATGATAGTCCCACCACCTCGAGTGAGGTGGAGCATTTGCATGATATTGAGCATGATTTGCATGATATGGGTGCTGAATCTGATTTTCATGATAACAATAATTTGCATCAGTTGCATGTGGAGCCTAGTAGTGATAATTTGCATAATTATCAACTTGCTAGAGATAGGAGTAGAAGAGCTATCACGAGAACTGCTGATAGTATGTCTGATTATGCTTTCATTATGCATGATACTTCTATGTTTGCATTTTCTGTGTTTGAATCCCTAGAGCTGAATGAACCTAAGACCTACCGTGAAGCCTTAGGTTCCAAAGAGTCTCAGAAATGGATTAGTGCCATGAAAAGTGAGATGGATTCTTTGAGAGTGAACCAGACTTGGACCCTTGTACCTTGACCCCCCAACTGTTCGGTAGTTGAGTGTAAGTGGTTGTTTAAGGTTAAGGAAGAACCTAGTGATGTTAGGTTTAAGGCTAGATTGGTTGCGAAAGGGTTTACTCAAAAAGAGGGGGTAGATTATGCAGAAATCTTTGCTCCTGTTGTTAAATTCACCACTATTCGTATGATGCTTGCTTTAGTTGCTCACCATGACTGGGAAATGAAACAAATGGATGTAACTACTGCATTTTTGCATGGTGAATTGGACAAAACAATTTATATGACCCAACCTGATGGTTTTGTGGATCCCAAGAGAAGTGAGCATGTCTGTTTGCTTAGGAAGGCTTTGTATGGCCTGAAGCAATCCCCTAGGAAGTGGAACATCAAATTTGATAAATGCATGATATCTTTGAAGTTCCAAAAATTTGTTTGTGATCATTGCCTGTATTTCAAGAATACTTCTTCTGTGCCTGTATTTTTGTTACTCTATGTGGATGACATGCTGATAATTAGTCCTTCTCTGAATGCTATTAAAGATGTGCAAAAATGTCTTTGTGCGAATTTTGCCATGAAAGACCTAGGTGATGCCAAGAGGATCCTAGGCATAAACATTGTTAGGGATAGGAGTAAGCGTACTCTTACTTTGAATCAGATTTCTTACATAGAAAAAGTTTTGAGTAAATTCAATATGTTATATGCTTCTCCTGTTAATGTCCCTATGGCATCTCACTTTGTGTTAAGTAAGGACCAGTCTCCCAAGACTGCTCCTGAAATTGAGAAAATGAAATATGTGCCATATTCCAGCGCAATAGGGTCGGTTATGTATCTTATGGTTAGCACTAGACATGATATTGCATATGTGGTTAGTTGCTTGAGTAGATATATGTCCAACCCTGGTTTGCCCCATTGGAATGCTCTTAAGTGGTTGCTTAGATATCTGATTTCTACTGTGAAGCATGGATTAATTTTCTCTAAATGTGCTAGTGGTATTGAATTGATTGGTTATGTTGATTCTAACTATGCAAATGATAGAGATAACAGGAAGTTGGCCACTTCTTATGTTTTTACTTTGTGTGGCTCTTGCATTAGTTGGAAGTCTCAACTACAGTCTATTGTGGCCCTTTCTACCACTGAGTCCAAGTATGTTGCAGCCACAGAAGCGTTTAAGGAAGCCATCTGGATCAAACGCCTTGTCTCCGAAATTGGGTTTCTCAAAAAGGGAGTTACCATTTTCTCGGATAGCCAATCGGCTATCCAACTTTGCAAAAATCATGTATTTCATGATAGAACTAAGCATATTGATGTTAGGTTCCATTTCATACGTGATATTGTTGATGCAGGTGGAGTCAAGCTGTGCAAGATCCCGTCCGAGTTTAACCCCGCAGATATGGGTACCAAGTGTCTTTCTGCTGAGAAGCACTTGTCCTGTAAACGCATGTTAAACTTTGACTGTGGATAACTGTGGGTTGTGTAATAAAGTGTTTGCCCGTTTTGTCTTTTGATATTCCGGGTGGCCCGGCGATGATGAGTCTTGTCACAACCTTGTATTGTTACTCTACACCACCTAGGACCAATAAGGTGGAGAATGTTGGAGGTATTGGTCCTACCAAGGCCTCCCTTCCACTTTATTAGCTGAGGCTTGCACCCTATTAATTTACTCCCTCTTTGACACCTTTACCTTGGTATATTACCTGATCAATTATATACCTGGAATCTGCCCCATTGCTTCTGTCCGCTTCACCCGTGAGTGTTCTTTGCCATCTTGTGACTGTCCTTGTTGTCTGCCCATAGGTTGGCAGCCTACTATAAGTCAACACTCCCCCCTTCTTTGTGTAATAAGCCTGCGAGATATTCATAGAGAGGGCAGTGTCTTCCTTCTTCCTCTTTGTGAGTTCCTTTGTGGTTAGAAGAAGAGAGTAAAGAGAATAGGTGTGCTATAGCTTCCCCTAGAGTGGTGTATGTTAGTAGTGTGTAGAAAGACTTGGGCCGGAGACGGATATACGATCCTTATAGAACCATTTTTAATAGAGCCTAACATATCTTCCAAAAAAAAGTAGAGCCTAACATATATCACGAGCCTTAGAAAATATGTACACCGATGAGTGATGACCATGTGTTTCTTCCAAACGCTTGGTGGTGGTAGAGAATCTTGTGTTCACATTCATCCTAATCCAAAACAAACACATGATCACCCTGTTTCATTTTTTCAACTCCATCCAATAAAAAATTAAAAGAATCATGTTGATATTTTAGAAGTTTATGACTCTTTCATGAAATACAATTACATTTTTATATAATACCAAGTACTATTTTTTTTATATAAGAGACCTCTCAATTCGTCATTTATAACAAGGCCTATAAAATCTATTACATGGCCCTGTATTTTGTCATTAAGAGTGATAATTATTTCCTAAACTAAAATTGAGAACTTGAAGCTGGGATTGAAAGAGTAGTAATTAGGTTTACAAATTCAATTTCAAATATTTTAAATAAAAGGTATTGACAATAAATAATAATAAAAAGCTTAAACATAGAAAAGTCTTCTGAGGTCCATTTGTGAAACATATTTTAATTTTTGGAACTAATAAACTCAAATATTATTATAACAAATATACCGTTTTAAAATTCTCAAATAGTATATGTCTATTATTAGTGATGTTTAAATTGAGACAATCACTTATGTAGTACTTCGTATGAAGCAGCCATAACTATCACTGTTTTGTGTAGTACTCCCAAGGAGGAGGTCAGAGGTTCGAATCTCATCTTAGTTCAAGAATGTTGGTATTAATATTGAGCAGATACTATATAGGTTAGAAAGAATTGTCCAAAAAAAAACTATCACTGTTTTGTTCAAATTTTGGGAAAAGTGTCAAATAACTATCATTTTTCAAATTTTAGGCGAATTAATATTTTAAGAGAAACTAGTCAAGAAAGACATTTTAAGAGAAATAAGAAATTTATCATCGCACCTACTACCAGCCCCGACCCGTACATGAAGGATACTCCCGCGCGTCTTTTTTATTTTTCTTGCCGTTTTAGCAGTCTAACAATAGGCTTGATTTACTTTCCTCGACCATTTTTGCAAATTTCTTTCGTTATCGATTTTGTACATTTACCATCTTTGTAACTTTGTTCAATTCATTTTGTTCATTCTTGGCTTACCCAGAGATTGAGTTATACCATCGGAGTCATATATCTTTCGGATTCCACTGAATAACTAATCTATTAATTTATTTACATTTTTATTTCATCAGTTCATTTATACACTTTCATGGATTTTATTTAGGTAGTTTCTATGGTACTCATAAGGTACCATATCTTTGTCTACATGGACACATGAGATTGTTGCAATTGAGTTATTTAAATCTAAATTAAAAATAATATAACGATGTTGACCAATCGAGTGAATGGAATGTACGATACCCCGTTTTTTAAATGGGTACTGACGTTGTCACCTTTTATTTATACACTTTATCAAAGAAATTCGTTTTGTGCTTTTCTGTGGGCGATTGTATTATTCATGGATACGTAGTATCTCATTTCATGTATATTCCTGAAAAATCGATGGATATAAGATTTGAGTTCGAACTAATTTCTCTTGGTGCACAGAATTTAATTTGTATAATCTTGAATATGGATTCCTTCACATAGAGAAGTTCTTACTAATTAAATTTGTTGAAGTTCTTTTCTACTTATCCTTTTACTTGCACATAATGGCTTATTAGGATGCACTAATTTAAACTATTATATGTAATGCACAGAATATCCTTTTACTTGGACATGCCAATGATTTGAGGGGCATGTGACTCATGAGGGTCCTTTCGAGTTGGGGATTCAACTTTTGGAGAATGAATTCATCAAAATGATGTATTAAACTTTGTAAAAAAAAATTGAGCAAGTAGACACATTGAAGAAAGTTACATGTAGACACATTCTACGTATTTAGTTATCAGTGTGAAAAAGAAGGCTGCTAAATACGGAGTATATATCTTTGAGGCTATGGTAGTCAGAATGCATATTCGATCGGCACAAAGCCAATCAAAGTATTTAGCTAAGACCCTTGTTCGTGATGTTTTCGATATACATCCGAACTAATCGTTTGCGCATGATGCGGAGTCGATTTCGCCGCCTTAAGCCATCGTACAAACCCTTAACCTGCACATAAGAGTACGTGGGTAGTAATTAATAAATTAGAGTACTTATTATTGTTACTCTGTCCACAAAAAAGAAATTAATATTTTATTTCTTTTATTATACATACATAAAAGAAATTATGGTAAGTAGGATTAAAACATGACAAAAGTTCACAATTAGAAATTAATATTTTATACTCTCTCCATTCCAAATTGTTTTGCAAAGTCAACATTTTTTGGTCAACTAATAATAAAAGTCAATGCTCCGTATTGATAATTAATTTAATTTTTAATAATTAAAGGTTATATATTCAGAAACTACATTAAAATCTTTTTAAAGTTGTAAACTCCAAATTAGAATATAATTAAAAATTGACATGCTAATTAAGCGAATAAAATGAAACTATTTGACCAAGAAAAGCCAAATTTGCAAATCAATTTGGGACGGAGGTAGTATTACGTATTAAACATGACATTTTTTCCCAAACTTGACAAAATTACTCCTATTTAAGGAATAAAAACATGAATGTTCTATTTTGGAATTTTAAAACGTTTTTACTCCTATTTAGGACAATTTCTATTTTACTTAGACTGTTTTCAAATTCCAGACCAGAACAGACTTAAACAAATCAAATCAATAGACTAGATCGGACTTCCATAGTTACAAAATACACGAAAATTAGACATTTACCAAACCAGATTCAAACTTTATTCCAAGTAAAAACATTCTTATTCTTTAATTTATACTCCGTATAGTATTACGTTTCATATTTGATCATAATTTAAACTTGAATTGACCATGGATAGATAGTTATTAAAGACGGTGGCGAACTCACGAGGAGAGCAAAAGTGTAGGCGAGGATAGCAGGAAAGTCGGTGTAGAATCTGAGACAGCAAGTCACACAGTCCAAGTTCTCGCCGTCGCGCCATGATCTCAGTGTCATCTCTTGGCCATAAGCAAACAGAGCTACCCGGTAACATACCATGTATACCGGTACCATCACCTGCATGCATATATTCATATAAATTAATTACAATCCGTATATGAAAACACACAATAATTATATTATAATACGGAGTAATATATTATACTTCCTCCGTTCTTTTCCAATTGCAACGGTCCACTTTTCACGTTTGTCAACGCACAAGTTTGACCATTAATATCTTTCATTTCGTATTAGTAAAAAAATTAAAAAAATTAGATTATGAAAATTTAAAGTGAGAGGAATTTAACAATATTTTTTTCAAAATTAATTTATAATACATTAATAAATAAAATAGAGTCAAAGTAGAACATATGAATAATGTAAAATGCAAACGTTACATTTAAAAGGATACGTAGTATATAGAATGAAAAATAAATGAAGTAGGTAGCTAGTGACGTACGAGAAAAAGAGAGTGGCGGAATAAGGCGGAATAGACGAAGAAAAGCAGGAGGAGGAAGAGGTAAGAGCAGAGTGAGCAGACGACGACTTTATAGTAGACCGGCAGCTCCAGCGGCGTCCTTCTGCCAGCTGATCTCGTTGCACTTGCTCCCAAACAGTATACCGCGTAGCACGTTGCTTGCTCCCCTATTATACTCATCAACAATCTGCATCCCCTAATATCATATTAGCTAGGTTCTAATTTCTATAAATTGGTTTGATTATTATTAATTAATTAGATAGATTTCCTTACCCGTGGTTAATGTTCACATAAGGTCGAATACATGGGACCATAGAAGCCCCCATAAAAAATGTAGCAGCCATCATATACCAAATCTTCTTCGCCTATATCATACCAAATACATGCATGCATTATATTTTTACATACACACATATTGACAATTTGTTAAATGTTTCAATTCTTTCTTTATACTATAATACTCGTGCATATATACTCAAATAATACTCGTATGTATATATTACCACCCTCTGTGAAGGTGTCTTAAGAACCCAAAACATGGATCGAGAAAAGAGGAGAAATGTGAAGCGCCCCCCAACTTCACCAGCAAAATCCAGTAACACTCCCAAAATTGTGCATACACAGGCAAGCACTAGTGTTGCGTAAACCTGCGGGCATGAATGGATATATATTAGGACAGTTTTAATTATCAGGAAGTATGCATCCAGAAGTAATTTTGGATCATTTAAATAAAAAATTGGAGCAATTTATATAGGAGGGAATGATTGGCAGAAATGAAAGACTTCATCGATTAATTGATCAATCGATCGCTAATACTATACAATAATGTTATACGGAGTATATGTATTCGTAATAAACACACATACCGGAAATTCAAGAAATTCATACCCAAAAGAATAGAAATTTAGAATTATTATATAGGTCGCGTTTTCAAGAACGGAGCTTTAAATACATATACGGTCGTCGGAGTATGATCTTTCATCAACGGCAAAAGTCAAAGCGCCGCCGCCGGCCGGGAATATAGCAGAATGAATACGAAAGCCAGCCTGAAGTCAATGCAGCGGCAGAAATAGGATTTCTGCAGTCTGAATATATATTGGTATGAATATATTGGTAATGTATTCATACCAATATATATGAATACATTACGTACCTTCGTGAGGTGTGAGTGAAAGAAGAGATATGTGGGAGTAGTCATGAAGTCGGTCAAGGTCCTGAAGTCAATGCAGCGGCAGAAATAGGATTTCACGGCGGCCTTTGCGGTCCTAATCGCGGCGGAGAGGCGGCGGGAGAGTGGCGGCATTGTTGCGACTAAATCGCACACAGTGAAGCTGGAGACGACGAATGAAGAAATGGAAGTGCGATATGTGAGTTGTGACTTTTGCAAGAAATTAAAGATCGAAAAGACTGCCGTAACTGAATTTGGTGATAACTAACTTTGGTGATAATTATTTCAAGCGCAGGTGTATGATACAGATATAGATTTGGGTTGACATGCATGAGGGATGGAGATATATAGAGGGCCACAGGGGCCAACCGGCATGAGAAATTCTACCGTGCACCTCTAAATTTCACATGGTACATTTTCTTATGTAGTCAAATAAAACAATGTCAAATGGACATTAAATTCATATATATTTTAATTATTTTCCATGTGGTACAATATTATTGGTCCCCCTATGATACAATCAAATTAACGGGTGCCCCGTAGAATTCCCCAATTTAAAATACCTTTGAAATTTTTTTATGTTTTTACTTGGACTGTCATTTGCTAGTCTGGTCTGACCTGGTCTTATTTCTTTGTATTTTTATAACTACCCAAGTCTGGTCCGGTATGTTCTAGTCTAGTCTGGTTTGATCTGGTCTAGTCTGAGACAAATTAAAATACCGGCTCATCCTAAGCTTCAATCCTGTCTACACTCTTGGAGCCTGTTTGGTAGCACGGAAATCGGCTGATTTTGCTGATTTTGCTGAAATTTATGAAGTTCTGGCTGAAGTGGCTGCATTGGTTGATTTTGCTGATTGAAGAAAAAATTATTTTTAAAATATATTTTATTAATAAAATAAAGAAAAAGTTATATGTAAAAATAGCTAAAATGATCATCTACGGTAACTTCAACTAGGAAAGTAACTTCAACCTTACTTTTTCTAATTATTACACAATTCAGCGCCCAAAAGCAAAAATTACGGGTTTGGTAAAAAAATGTGGCTGATAAGATGAAAAACAATGTTGCCAAACGGCCTCCTGGTTGACATAAAAAAAAAAAGAGTGTTTTCAAAAATATTACTATCTCTGTCTCATTTTGTGTCTCATTTGACTTTGACATAATTATTAATAAAGTGGTTGAAAAAGTAAAAATTGTGGTTGAAATTTGAGAATAATAAAGTGAAATGTTATGGACCATATATTTTTTCCCAAAAAGAGAAATGTGACACTTATTTGGGGACAACCCAAAAAAGAAAGTAAGATTGGTAAAATCAGACAAATGAAGTACTAAAGTAAAATTTATTTACCCAAATATGACTAATAGTTTATACAATGTAATTTCATGATAACTTAAGTTTAAAAATGGAACACAAGTTAATATGATTTCATTAGTACTCTAGTCATTAGTCACATTTTTGTAAACAATATTTGTTTTAGTCATATACCTAGTACATGTAATTATTTCCAATAAAACAAAAACAAAAAAAGAAAGATGATATATGGCACCTCAGTTCATCCCTTTCATTGACCGAACCATAAATTAAACTACGAAGATTTCAATTATACTTTTAAATTCAAATCGCGAATAATACTTTGCAATTTGTACGTAATGGGTGTAATTATACTAGATTTCCTAATCAAATTTACAAATCTCAAATATGGGTGTAATTATGGGTGTGAAGCAATGGAGTGCTTCTGGATTAGTAAGTAGGGATTGGGATCCTCTACCCGACTAGGAGGGTGCCTTGCGCATCGGACGGGAGGGGAGCGGCCAACACGGCCTCGAGATCGGCAAAAAAGTGGAGCCCAAGATCTCCAACCGTTGAATTGTCGATCGGACGACTGAGAGGAAGCAAAGCACTCTACCTTACTCTAAAGTAAGGTAGTGACATGGAGGTGAACTATGACTCTTCAAAAAATGGAGATGTGGCGAGCCTAGCAATTGTGACTTTTCAGGAAAACTATTAATTAGTATCTCCGTTCCTTAAAAGTTTATCATCTTTCCTTTTAGGAATGTTCCAAAAAAATCACTTTTCTTTTTAATCAATTATTTTGTGATTTCTGTTATTTATCTCTCCTCTGCACAAATCTCAACTACATAATTTTTACTTTATTATTTTCAGTGCCGGTCAATTTTGACAAAGTTTCAAGTGATAGAGGACGGACGTCTGGCAGGACATCAGACTTTATTTAGTTCTATCTTTATTTTTCCCTATTGTTTTTTCTTTGTTATATCGTACTCTTTACTTTGGTTACTTTTTAGACTAAGAATGAGTTTTAGGAAAGAGGTGGAGCGAGTGCAATTTTGTTCACCCCTCCTTGGAGGGTGAACATCACCCCCTTTCTATTTGCTTGCCATGTGGCAAAAAAAGAAATGAAATGCCAAATGGCAACATTTGAGCTATGGGGGTGATGTTCACCCTCTGAGGAGGGGGTGAACAAAATTGCACTCGAGTTTTGGGATGCAGTAAGAAGTACTTTGGCTGACAAAGTTGGCAACAACTTCAAACCTCTCGTATGTCCAGCAAATGGTGTTAGCTCTTTAAAGTGTAGACTGTAGACTCTTTTATGTCAGATCTTATAATGGGGGCTTTTCGGTTATAGGAAAGTTAATGATAAGGTGTACTGTGTTAGTGTGGTGATGCTCTGTGATGGGCTTTTGGTCTATAAAATTTAAGTTTTTCTTTAAAAATAAATAGTAAAATTTACGAAAAATTAGGTCCTAGTCTCCTAGTTTGATAGTTTTTAGTCATTCGCTCCGCGATCATTATACTCATACATTTCATCTTTTAGGTACCGAATTGATAATTTATCTATATTTCAAGCGCTTGATTGATAAAGTTTCAAAAATTAACTATTAGGAAATCTTCACATTCTTTTTCATGGCGCCGCTAGCCCGCTAGCAATGTCAAGCAACCGTTTAAATCTACACGAAGAAAAGGTCAATTGAGTACATCAACTTGTATGAGTTGGAGTGAAAAGTACATTATATTGCATCTGATATTTTTAAGTACACAAACTCGGTTTTTAGTGTTATTTGACTAATTTGAGTACGCTTATTAGACTAACACGTTAATACGGCTAAGTTGGCTAACATGATGGTTGACGTCAACCCCCAGCACCTTGATCGACTTCCCCTTGACTGACTCTAGTCCCCATAGGTTCACTTCTCCTTGATCGATGCACCCCTGCTAGCCAACGCGACACCCACCGCAGTTTGACCTATGTAGGCCGATATTTCCTTTTAGTCAACTTTCTGAAGGTCGTCGCCATAACCTTGGTCGATTACCCATTCTTACTCAGCACTTCGTTAGCCAACGCAGTCTTATTAATGTGTTTAATTAATAAGTGTACTCAATTAACACTAAATAATCGCGTTTATGTACTTGCAAATGCCAAATGCAACTCTTTACTCCACCTCATACAAGTTGATGTGCTCAGTTTACCCTTTCCTCAAATATAGACATTATACTAGCCATGGTAAATAAATAAAAAAGCGACTAAAACTTATTTCATCGTAAAACAAAGCACTTTCTATTAATCCATCCGTCCCAACAATAATAACTTCTATTTTGATTTGGCACACAAATCAAGAAAGTGGTAAATATGTGACCTAAAGTTGTACAGAGGATAGAAAAAATGGAGACAAATGTCTTGCACCACACATTTTTTGCCAAAAAGGGAAATAGAGGTTTATATTGGAACAGACGAAAATGAAAAGAATCGAGATAATATCGTGACCAAGCGAGTAATTAATTGTTTTGTGTCTATATCTCTAATCTCTCTCATCAAAAGGTTTTATGTTGTTTTCTTTTGAATTGTAGTTTATTAATCTGTTTGATCAGATATGATTTGGTCCGATATGTTTAAATCTGGCCTGATCTGTGTAAATCCGGTCTGGTAAATGTCTGATTTCTGTATTTTATAATTGTCTGAGTGTAATCTGGTCTAATCTAGTGTGCTTAAGTATGATTTGGTTTGATATAATGGTTCGTTTTCTCTCTCTAGGGTTGCCGCAAGGCAAGCCTCTAGTTTGGATCATCCGCTATCAGCTTTCACTGAGGAGCGGGGCTGGTTTCTGGCTATCCGTTTTTAATTTCGGCATAGAGATTTCGGAAAGAGAGGTGACAAAGGAGGCAGGTGAAGTTTCTGGTTCGGACCGGCAGTTTCGTGGTGTTTTGACGGAAGAACCGAGGAAACATAGTAGTGCACAGAGCGACAAAGGGCTGATCAAGGGAGAATACAGATCTGCGGTTCGTCCCCCTTCTAAACCGCCGCCTTGGATTGATCGAGAAGTCACAATTTGGAAGATGATTTTTCAAGAGAACAATAAAAAAAAAGTTAGGAATAATTGTCAATTATTCTATTTTTTATGATCTTATTTTTGTGTTATGTTTGTTTACGGCGTTTTGTTTTTTGTTTAGGACTTTAGTTTTAGGTCTACAATAATAATGATCGTCAACTCTACTAGATATTATGTCATTAGAAGGATCTATATGGTCAGTGATTGTTGTGTCACACCCGCTTGGTGGTTAGCGATTTGTATTGCTCTTTCAGGGGTGATCGTCTCAGAGTCTAGCCGTAGGGTTGATTATGATCGTTGGTTAGGGATTGTTTTTGTCAGGGTTGGTCTGTTTGAGTTTGTTGTAACGATCCTTTCCCTAAGGGTTTTAATATAAGAGTTGGATTTGATGATAAAAAAAAGTATGATCTGATTTGGTTTAGGGGTAATTTGAGTTTCCACCCCATTTTATTGTGCAAATTGTACTTTGCACCCCATTTTTAAAAAACTTTGTTTTTACACCCTAACCCATATGAAAAGACAAAAATGTCCCTGGTCCCTTCATTAACAATTTTGTTGGCCTCCAACATATTCTTGGTTGAGGGCATTTTTGTCTTTTCACACGGGGTTATGGTGCAAAAACAAAGATTTTTAAAAACAGGGTGCAAGATCCAATTTGACAATAAAATGATGTGCAAACTCAAATTACGTACTGCTTTGGTTTAATCTCAATTACCCCTTTGGTTTAATCTCTTGTCCTGTATTTCTCTGTTCATTTAGAAATTAGAAGGCGTGCGCATATATATCCATACTGCGCCTCCTCCTTATTCCTACCTCCTTTGCCGTCTCCATAGCCGTCTCCTTGGAGTCCTTGCCTAACCTGCCTTCGAAAAGCTTCAACACAAGATCTTAAGGTGGGTATATACTCTACAATGGCCACAACTCCGCAGAGGCCGCCGCAGCTACTCCACAATTTCCATCTGCCCCGGTTGAATTGGGGCCACAACTCTACCTCCAACCACCGCTTCCGCCGCCGCGACTCTTCCAGGTCAATGGATGACTCTCGAGTGATCCCCCCCAAGGAAAACGTCAACCCCCACCGCTCTTCAACCGAAAACGGGGGTCCCGACTCCGAGCTCCGTCCGACCGGATCATACCCCCTGTTCTCATCACCCCCTTGCTCCGCCGGAAAGCACCGTGCACGGATCCCGAACGGATCAGAAACCCAGCAGGAGGAACAAAACGGCGCAGTGGAGATCCCAGATGAAGGAGAGACGAGGACGTGGAATCTGAGACCGAGAAAGGCGAGCGCAGCGGCGTCGTTTAGGAATGGTGAAATGCAGGAAGTTGAGGAAGGGAATCATTCTGCGGATAGTAAGAAGCTATTGATCTCCCTGTCGAAGGAGGAGATTGAGGAAGACGTTTATTCCTTGACCGGGTCTAGACCCGCCCGCCGGCCCAAGAAACGGCCCAGAAACGTGCAGAAGCTACTCAATGTACACTCCATCAGAAGAATGCCTTTCTCTAATCATCATTTCATTATATAAATACTCATAATTTTTCATTGCAGAATGTTTTTCCTGGAATTTATTTGGTGGGGCTCTCTGCTGCCTCCTATCGAGCTCATGAGTCACAGGTGAAGTCTCTTCCAAAGGTGTTTATTGTTGGAAGATGAATATTTAGAACAGTGGCAGATTTAGGATTTTGACTTTGGGTTTTCAATTTGTTTCTACAATCAAAACTTTCAACAACAATAAACAAGTACACTGAATTTATACATATATATACTAGTACTAGTATGTTTTCAAAATTGTAAGTGTTTAGGAGACCACCTTTGATATATGGTGGCTCCCCCACTGATTTAGAACATATGGAGTAATATTTAATGGAGTAGTTTTAGATATGAGAAGAAGCTAATTTTGGAAAAATATTTTGTCAGAGGCTTTGAGAGAAGATACTAATAAGGCTGCACATTTTGCTTAACCAAAGTCTTAATTTGAACTACTCAAGTTTATTTTCCAACATATATACTATAGAAACTCATAATTGGATGCATAACACAATAAAAGATTGAATCCAATCAAGTAGTCAGAGCTGCTCCTTTAGCCTAATCTTTGTAGAAGTGGTAAGTTTGGCATGTGTAGAAGTGGTTAGAAGTGGTATGCTTATGTTATTATCATGTAAGTTTGGTATGTTTTGAAGTGGCTGGATATGGTCTGATATTATTTGAGTCCGGCCTGGTCTGATCTGTTATGTTCTTGTTTGGTTTGTTAAGTCCTGTCTAGTCTAGACTTATGAACTTGTACATCTCTTTTGATTCCTTCAATGCGGACTCTCTTAACATTCCTGCATTCTCTTGACAATGAGTTGAGGAAAGGAAGTGTTTGTTAATGCAGATGTAGGGGTGTATGTGACATGGAGAAGGAAGGTAGGTGAAATCTTGACAAAGGTGTGCTTTACCAACCTGTTAGGTGACAATGTCTGTGTTAAACGCAATGTATCCCTTAGTCTTTTTATTTTCCTCTTAGTCCTTGCTGAAATTCTTTCTTGAGTGAAATCAGATCATAATACAGAGTTTGATTGATATCGTGAAGATTGGAGACCTTCAGACTTGATTACAATTATGCCTCAATTGGAGGTATATATATAGATAGTATATACGTAGTATTATATGCAGATCCCATCTTGTGTCAGGGTTTTAGTTAAGAAGGGAGATTTGTAGATTTTCTTGTTTGTGAATGTAAATGACATTGGTCAGTGATAGATTTGATTATGTAGTATATGAACATTTAAATCCATACCATTATTACAACGACATTTTAGTGTATGTAAATTTCATAGCGAGATCAAACTAATTTTTTAACATGTACTCATAATTTTTTATGAACGAACTAAATTATATGATACACTGATATAAGAAGTTTGGCATGTCAATTTTAGCATACAAAAACTTCATATTCCGTATGGGATAGTGGTATAACAACGAACTATAACAACTATATTTTAGTACTAATATAAGTAGTACTATTCCGTATAGTGTTATAACAACGTACTTCATATACCAATTTTAGCATACAAAAACTTCACACGTTGACTAATGGAACCGGGAACTGGTTAATTACATGCTAAAAGGGTTGTTTACCTCGTTTTTATAGTTTGTAGGTTTAATTAGGTGTTTTTTGAGTTCGGGGGCTTCATTGACTTTTTCGTATTAGTAGGGGGCCTATTTGACATTTTTTCCTAGTTTTAACCTTGGAAGTTGGAACTTGGAACCACAGTCACATACTCACATGTGTTCGCATCACCATCATTCAATTTGCTATATTGGTATGTTTGATTTGTAATGTTTTTTAAGACACATTTCAATGTTAAGGTTTTTCTAAATTTGGCGTTTTTCTACTATAAAGTTTTGCAAATAAACAATAATAAATGTAGTAATGCACAACTTTTGCTTACGTCATAATGTCATATGTCATCTTGATGAGAATGGTGAATTTAACATGAGTGTTATTTGATAAAGATGATGATATAATTTTAGTTGGTATACCGTGGGAGCAGCCCACGGTGCCGAGCATACTCCCATAGGTGTCATTTGACTTGATAATTAAACAAAAAACGCATATGAACAGTAATTGTTGATTTTTCTTCAATAATTTTCGTGATGTAAATCCCTTGTGATGAAATGTAATTCGCGTTGTTGCATACTTGCATATGTAACTTCGGTTAGCGACAAATGCAACTTGTTCTGTGGAATGTAAACCACGTTACTCTCAGTAGTTCTATCACTTTTCATATGTGATATGTAAACCGCGTGTTATAAAATGTGTCTTTAAGCAAATTTAAATGTAACTAACGGTGTATAAAATGTAACTTGAGAAAATTCAAAAAATGTAAATTGTGTAAATTGTGTTAATTAAAATGTAATTTGAACTAACGTAAGCTGCAGGCGCTCCAAGCCTTCAAGAATTGTGCTGTTTTGGTTATCAGTTCGATCGTCTCTCGCTTCTCTCTAGGGCTTCGGCCGCTTGGAGTTTTTTTCCGTCTTCGATTTTAATCGAAGGACGGCCGCTTTTTCCGTCTTCGATTTTAATCGAAGGACGACCGTTATTTCCGTCTTCGATTTTAATCGAAGGACGGCTGCTGTTGTTTGTGCTTCATACTCGAAGGGCGGATTTGCTGTCATGGCTCGAGGAGATCGATGTTGTGGTCAAGGTTCGAGGATGATGTATTGCTGTCGTCGTTGGAGAAGATCGGCTCCGCCTATCCGTTTACTCTGGTTGCATGAAGCAGGGATGAGTTTGGTTATGCAGGGACGGAGGATTGATGCATGGCCTTTGGCAGACAAAGGTCACGGAGTATCAATTAGCATGGTACCGGTGGTAAGACCTCCTCCTGAACCACCACCATGCGATGTACGAGGTGCTAGAGTTCGTGAACGCTTTTCTTATAGTTTTTATCTGTTTGTTATTTGTTTTCTTGTGTCCACTTTTGTTGTTGGTTTTGACAGTTTGTTTGAGTTTTTTGCCTCTCTTTATATCATTGGGTATGGTTGAATCTATGGGAATAGGTTTGGCTGTGTCAAGCCCACTACATGGTTAGCGATTCGTGTTGCTCTCTCAGGGGTGACCGTCTCAAAGTCTCATCATAGGGTTACAGTCGTAGTTGTTGAAGTTTCAGTTGGTGTTAGTTTTATTTTCCTTTTGCTTGATGTAATGATCCTGAATCTTTTGATATGAATAGAGGTCCGTTTGACGATAAAAAAAAATGTAATTTGAACTAAATCGAAATGTAAATTGCTTTAATAGACATGTAACTTGAGCCCAAATCAAAATACGAGCTATCTATTATACGTAGTATATGTATAAAAAATACAATCGTGGATGAATTGAGTTTAAACTCGGGGGGAGGGGGGATGTATTCTGGCGGGTGAAACTAGAAGAACAAGGTGGGAGGAGAAATTGAACAAGCGATTTTGAAGTAGGGCATGGAATGAAGCCCAGATGCGGAGTAACTAAACCTAGCTACTACTCCGGCGCGGCGCTGCAGAGCAAATATAGGGATGATGGAAATCTACTGTTTCGATGCATAGTAGAAGCGCAACAGTCGTAGCAACTCCAGATAAACAACAAGGTTGAAGACGGAGCCACCTATTCATGGCTGCAATACTCCGGTGCAAGACGACCTGCGATTGTGCAAGATGATTTGCGATTTTCGTTGTGCAAGATTTGCGATTTCTTTTAATAGAAAACGCTAGGGGTGGGCACAGTCCGGGTAGGTTCGGGTAATTGATAAATTTTCAAAAACCATTAGTTCCATTAAACGGGTAAGTTCGATCCGAGTAGGGTTGTAAATGAATCGAATCGAACCGAATACTTGATAATATTATTCGTATTCGTATAATTATCGAATATTCGTATTCGTATTCGTATTCGTTTAAAATTCGAATCTTATTTTGTATTCGTATTCGATTCGTTTGATATATTCGAATCTTTTTCGAATCCAATTCGAATATTCGAATTCAAAAAACATTAAAGTTAATTTGTGAAAATAATTAAAATTATGATGTTAGTTTGCCCCTTTTAACTCATTTTCATATTACATATTTTATAGGAAACAAAATTCATTTATAGAAGTCACTTCAAATTTAATATCAATATAGATAAATCATCGGAGAATTTTAATTGTAAATTAAGCTATTTGGACCTGGTAAAGTAAGAATTTTTAAATTAAAATATGCAAAATATTTACATGAATATTTTGTTATTAATATTTTTACATTGAACTATATGTATTCATAAGAAGTAGTATATATTGTACGAATATAAATATATATATATATATATAATTCGAATATATTCGAATATTATTCCAATCGAATATCATAATATTTGTATTCGTATTCGTAAAGTATTCGAATCAAAGAATAGATTTGTATTCGTATTCGTATTCTACTTACTCGAATTCGAATCGGCATTTTCGAATTCGAATCACGAATCGAATCAAAATTATTCGATTCGTTTACAACCCTAGATCCGAGTATACCAAATCTCAAAATAGGAACCGGAACTTATCCGCCCCGTTTGAAATAGGCCGGGCTGGTTCCAGTTCTCGGTTCTTTTTTGTAAAAAAAAAATCGACTATGTTAGCAAAGTTTCTAGTAAGTTATAAAATTCTCAAACTAATTAAGGTTAATGTCACCATAATAATATAATATAGTGAAAATTCAAAATAAAAATAATAAATAACATTTTAAATTAGTGAACAAAATATGTTACAACAAATCTATAAATTGAACAATACACAACCACCTAAATTAAAATTTTAATCATTATTGATAAACAAAAGAAATAGCACATAATGTCACGAAAAATTAAACTAGTTACTATACATATTTGTCTATGAAAATAATTTAAGCTTATTAAATATAAAAATATAAGTAAACATGAGATAATAAAATGAATATGTCACACTTCATTAAATAAGAGACTTTGTTTACAAAAAAATATTCAAAAAAAGTTTGATGCATTTGGAATAGAGATTTGAGGAAAATAATTTAGGAGCTTAGATGGACTTAGAAATTCTTTTTAAGACTGATTAATTTCTTTAGTTGAAAGTCTTTGTCTAGACACAAGAACATGAATAGCTTCCATGTGTTGTTAGTACATTATATAAAATATAATAGAATTTATTAAAACAATATTTTGAAATGGATCGATCCGGGTACCCGTTTTTCAAATTTTAAGACCTGCTCGATCTCTAAGTTTTTAAGGACCCGCCTCGCCCCGAACCGTTTGGGTTTTCAAAAATTAGGACCCGACCCTAACCCTCCCCGAACCTGTATTACTCGGCCCGTTCCGCGGTTCCTGTACCGTTTGTTCACCCCTAGAAAACGGTACCGTTTTGGGATCGGTGCACCGTGCTCACGGTGTACCGATCCCACGGTATAATTTGCCATGTAATTTAGTCTCATTCTATCATTATTAAATGGAAAAATTGATAGTAATAATCCCAACTATTGCTGGTCCGCTCATAATAATCCCAACTATCGATTATTTCAGAATAATCCCAACTTTAGGGACCTTCCGCTCATATATGGGCTATTTCTATTATCCAAATATTATATAATTATTAGTAAATAATGTTTAAATTCATATGAAATAAAAATAAAAGCAAAGAAATAAAGGGGATACCCAGATGCCTTAATTGACACATAGGCGCCCGCCTAGGCGGGCTAAGCGCTAGACGGGCCAGTCATCACCCGACAAGCAACTAACGCCTTTTAAAACATTGTCTCTTACTAAAACCACACTATTGCAATGTTACATAGGATATAACACGGGGGGCGACATTCTCAGACGAGGACGTCTCCTGGGCGACAACATTGTCATAGTTGCTGAGCTGCATGAATTTGAGGGGTGACGGCGAGGGTGGAGGAGGAGATGTTGGTGTTGCGTTCTCCCCGGTCCTAGGCGTCAGTGCAATTAGCGTCGTGGGGTTTTGGGCAAGGCTCGTGAGGATGATAGAAAGCGTCGCCTGAATGTCCACCTGGGAGATGATTGGGATGATCTGGTGAGCGGCATTGGCTTCGACACTGTTGTGCTTGCCATCGAAGAAGATACGAGTGTCGGGCTGATGGGCGTTGATATGGCCACAGAGTTCGGTCGTGGGGTCAATCGTCTCATGGAAATCGACCTCCTCGGCATTCTTTGAGGTTGTGGCGTCCCCGGATTTCTCCTACTCGAGGCAAGGATCCTAAACGGCCTCGGCCGTGAAGATGGTTTTTTATCTAGTCTTTCCCATTTCCGAAGTGTTTGTAGCGTCTGGTGGCGACGAAGGTACTAACTTGATAGTTCTTTCTCTTAACGAGAGCACCAAATAACAGCTTCCCAGTAAACCGCTAGTGGTATTGTAGAGAGAGAAGGGAGCGCTAAAGTTTAGAGAGAGAGAAATATTGTAATAAATGAAGTTGGAATCTTTTACATCTGCCCCCCAAGGGGGTATTTATAGTAGTTATAAATGAGTTGGTGCATTAAATGCATTATATGTGTCGACTATTCTATGGGCAAGAGCCATGAGATGTTGCACAGCTTGACGCGTGTCATTCCCTCGTCCATTTCTGGATGAATATTCTCTGTTAACCGAGGTTATGTCGGCCGAGGTGCACAGGTGCACCTCGGTCCATTGATTGTAGTTCATGGCTAGAATTCAGGTGAGACGTGACTGAGGTGGTACCCACCAAGGTGTCACCCTCTGAGATGACCGTACGGACATGGATTCTGTTTCTTCATTCTGGGTTAAGCTTTTCTGTTGAACCCTTCAGTGATGTCATGGGCTTGGGCCGTTGTATACCCAAGGGTGTGTGGGTCGTGGATCTGAGCCCATATACTCTATCAGTATTCAAAAGATAAGGTTAGATTGAATTATAAAAGTCACACAAATATGTTACGTATATACTTCGTATTATTTTAATTTTTTTCTAAAAACTAAATTGAAATCACTCTAAATATGAGTAGAAAAGTTGTGAAATTTCAAAATAGGATTAATTTTTTTCCCTTAAATAAGGTTAATCACTATAATGTTTGGAAAATACCGCAAACATGACATTAATATTGGTATATTAATGTATAATAATGTCAAATATGATAAAATAATTTCACGATGCCGATAGTTTACTCCTATTTTGGGGGGAAATAATGTTTCGGTTTTAGAACTTAAAATGATTCTTATTCGATTTTTTCAAATTAAAAGTGCAGTTTCTCATGAAGCCTTTGACTAATCTCCCATACACTTTCAATATTTGAGGCTTATGTGGACATGTCTTATGACTTTTGGGAAAATATGGAATCAATTTAACTCCTTCAAGCACGGCCGGATAAGAGTAAAGGCAAAATACGTATTGTAGGAACAAATGAAGCCGTCAATTATTATCATTGCTAATTTATCGGCTTTGCATCAAACTCGCAATTACTTTCCATTAAAGCTTTCCAACTCCCTCCTTTTCAGGTACATTTTCATTTCTCAAGCTCCCTTCACAAATTCTAGTTTAATTTGAGTTGGATTTTCAATTTAGAATTTCCAAATTTCCCTGATCACGCTGCACCGGCCTGATCGGTGGAAATTCCGATTTCTTTTTATATTTCCCAATGTATACCTAGTAATTCTCCTCTTTTTTTCTTTCCAGAAGGATGAAAGATTTATGCATGTCTTGATTTAAGAGGGAGATATATATGTATATATTTGGAATATATTGGGGGAGATTTGACCCTTTTTATGAAACTGCGAATTTTAATGAAAATTGAAGATATCTTCCATTTCATTCTATCGTCGGGAAAGGTGTCTGATCATTGTATGTAGGTTTTGTTGTTATTTTATTGGATATTAAGAAAATGGGGGAGCATTTGGTGGTGTATGTGGACCGGCTAGAAAAGACGAATGAAGCAGGGTCTACCCAGCGACTTTCGGAGGCTAAGCACATTGAGAAGATGTCAGAAATGGTGGGGGGCTCTTCTCGTGCTCTTGTTGGCGACATGGGAGAGCTTGAGGAGATTGTGGGTGAGGAGGAACCTCTAATTGGAATTGCTGAGTGCCGCATCTGCCAGGAGGAGGAGTCTGTCAAGAATTTAGAAACTCCATGTGCTTGTAGTGGCAGTCTCAAGGTCAACAATGCGATTATTTTTTGACTTTTTATCAGAGAAATTGTGTTACTATATCTCATCATTTTGGTTTATTGTTGAATTTCCAAGACGACAGAGAGTGATTTTGCTTGTCAATTCTTTGAATCATTATGTCTTGGGTATAAAATAGAGAATCACCATTTAGAGCTTATGAATTTAACAATTTATACAATTTGGGCAATTTTGTAGATTTGTCGTATGTTTTGTCAGTTGTATTTTCTTCACCTATTTTATCATGATAGCAAATCAACGTCTAAATCATGACATGTCCAAAGTTAATTGAGATTTGTTTAAAGTTGAGAAGGTTTAATGAATTTACCATAGTCTTGGGGTTAAACTGGTCACTTGAGACGTTTAAGGGTAAACTAGGGTTTTTGTTGAAAAATCAAGGTGGTTTTGGGTATTTGATCACTTGTTTATTTGATGATCATCATTTCGTTGTTCATTTTCGTGATTGGATGGAGTGTCAAGGATATATTTTTTCCATTGCAGTATGCTCACAGAAAATGTGTTCAACATTGGTGCAATGAGAAGGGGGACACTACTTGTGAGATTTGTCACCAGGTACTTGCCAATATAATGATTGTTAAGCATGACATTGTGTTTTATATGGTCGAGATGACTTTTTTCATATTTGATAAACTTATATAATAGTTTAATTCTAGATTTAAGCGGTTGAAAATGGTTTATTGGCTTCTCTATCACTAAACTTCCAGAATGTATTTTTTAGAATAATATTTGAAAACAACCTGTGAGCTCATGTATAACAATGCTGCTAAGAAATCATTGACAATAATGTTGATGTACATATTTGTATGGAGGTTTATGATACACTATAATCTTACTAATGTGTATATATTCCCTTTTGGATCTCAATAACTTTATTGGTGATTGGAGTTTCTATTTATGTTTGTAACAGTTAAGTTATCAAACTCTATTGTGTGATATGGTCTTCCTTTGGACTTTGGTGTATTTGTAATTATGTAGCAATTAAGATTCAACTTTTCTCTAACTCTTTCCCCCTTCCTAACCCCCGCTTTCCACCACGACACATTAATAATTTATTACTAATTCTACATTTTCGAAGTATGCAGCCCTACCAGTCAGGTTATACTGCCCCACCTCAAGCTCAGCCTGAAGACACTATCATTGATATTGGGTAAGATCAATTTTTGCTATGATACATCAATTTGATGGGGGGAGATATAAAATATATCAAAAGTCTGGTTATGCAATTTTAATGATACATTCATTTTTTTCCTTTGGCTTATCAGTGGAGGGTGGCAGATCTCTGGTATGCCTTTGGATCTGCATGACCATCGCCTTTTGACACTTGCAGAGGCTGACCGCCAAATTTTGGAAGCTGAATATGATGATTATAATGCTGCAAATGCAAGTGGTGCTGCTTTCTGCCGCTCTGCTGCCCTAATTGTGAGCCCCTACAAATTATTTTCAATATTTTTTTCACATACACATATAAATATGAATTAATGCCATAAATGCTGAAATTATTTTTAGTTGATGGCTCTTCTGCTATTACGGCATGCTATGAACGTCACAGACGGTGATGGTGGTGGTGATGATGATCCATCTGCTATTTTCTCTGTGAGTGTGTTTCTTTCCACTCAAACTGCATCAATTAATAGGGAGTTATTGAAGCCATGACATCACCAATTGTGTTTATGCAGCTTTTCTTGCTAAGGATGGTTGGATTTCTTTTGCCATGCTACATCATGGTCTGGGCCATCAGTATTTTGCAACAGCGAAGGCAAAGAGAGGTTAGAATTTCTGCAAATGCCTTAGAGCCGGACAACCGGTTTGGTTCTACTTGTGCCAGAAGCGCTTCTCCATTTAAGCGCAAAAAGTGCTTCTTTCAATAAACAACTTTCTTTAATATGAAGAAAAAGTAAAATTTTAACCATTAAGAGCAGGTTTTCATTTCATTGCAAAATCATTTTTGAACAAAAACTCTTTTCTTCCTATGAAAATCTTTCATTCCCAGCAAATAAGTCATCTTGAATGCACTCTTCGGTAACAAGTATATTCTGCGTCATTTTGATGTCAACTATACAGCAAATACAGATAAGGGGGTACTAGCTCATGAGATTTTTATCAGCCCATTATGTGCCCTTTTATCTAGCTTTTGGTAGATCTCATACAATAACTGCTCTTACATTACCTTATCTAAAACACGAGAAAAAATTGCTTATAGATCTAATAACCATATAACTTTTCAATTGCTCCAAATTTTCAATCAGCGTGTTGTGAGAATAATATTTTTGTTACTCATCTTTTTATTTTTCTATTTTTAGTGATATGACTATTGTAGCAATACACTTTTAGTTCATTTTCTAATTTACCTACTACAAGTAGAGGACTAAAACCATCTATGTCACCATAGCGGAGGACTATAAGCCTATAAGGGATTACAATTTAGTGGAAAAGTGGAAAACATCAAAGATAAGTATCAAAACTTTCCTCTACCCCAATAGTTTTAGGACAAAAGTTGAAGATTCAAAGCTAGTGCCTAAAAGGCACTGACACAATACCGCGAGGGTTGAAAGTGAAAAGAAATCTTGTTCATAACTTATGTTCTATATAGATCCTCATACCCCGCCAATGATCTACATAATCCAACCACACACCTATAATAAAGTGGATGTATTTCTGACTCAGACTTCCATCTCAACCCCTAAGAGCTCAGCTCTTGCACCACGTCGTCCAAAAACAAGGACATGAATGAGCCCTATAGGGGAAACATGTTGCTTATTCTGGGCCAATACATCCAACACCTTTTAGGACACAAGTAATTACAGTGTTCTATGATAGCGCTAGGGGCACTATCGACAGTAGTGGACTGATCTGAGGATGTTTAGATGAATAAATATCTTGTACTACGGATAACTTTAAAGTATGGATGCAGGAGGCGGCGGCAGTGGCGGCAACACAGTTTGCATTTGTAGTGCAATCAGCAGCACAACGAAATGGAATGCAATTTACTATAGCATCAGCCACACCTGCAATTCCTATAGCTCAAGAGCGTCAATAACAACTAATATTTATTGAGGGTGGGGTTATTTATTGTCGACAATGTGCTTTGAAATTATGGTGTATATGGATTCTAAGAGTTCACAAGAGGTGTAAAACAAATTATACAAAGCAATTGTTTTTTATTGATGTAAGTTGCAATTGTGATATATAAAGAATTTATAAGGGCAGGCCGGCGCCGGGTATGCTCTTTTATGGTATTTCTCCGTTTTTCGCTCCGTTTGACGCCCGTTGTTGACCCCGAAGTGCCAGTTCTTGGTTCCTTTTCCCGTTGACTCCAGTTTCTTCATTTTTGACGTCTAAGTGCGGTTTTGCTCAAATTAGGATTATTACCTATTTTATCTTTGAATGTTTGTACAGATAATCATAATTACCTATATAAAATATAGGTAGTAATTGTGCTTATCAATATATAGAGAATTTATTCGATGGAGTATATGGCCCAGGAACCCCCGGCCCATAGACTCCCACTTCTCCTACACAAGTCCATTGAGCCCAGAGGACATCTCAGGCCCACATACAACGGCCCAAGCTTCAAAGTAGCCCAGAATACACACTGGGGTGCCTTCGGCCTCCTTGGCCGAAGGCTTCAAAACTCGCAGGATAGCCTTTTCTGACATAAGAAGCTGCTGGGAGAAACCGGGGCGGAGACATGAGCCTTCGGCATTCTCATGCCCTCAGCAACAGGGGAAGCCTTCGGCTGAACCAAGCCTTCGGCTACACGAGGAGCCCCCGGCTACACAAGGAGCCCTCGGCTACACAATGAGCCCTCGGCTACACAGGGAGCCCTCGGCTACACGAGGAGCCTTCGGCTGAACAAACTCAATCATCGAAGATTCCTTTTAGAGACAGCCAACCACCGCATTTAATGCCACGTCGCATCCGCCAACCGCACTCAATGCGGTTGACGTACCACTGCCGGTGCCACTAGGCTGATGTGACCCTTCGACCGTTGGATTACTGACACGTGTCCCCTCATCGCATTTATTGCTGCTATAAATAGCAGCCCATTTCTCCTTGTAATCGACACGATCTACATCTCAACTCCACGCTGAGTTCATTTAATAAATCGACTCTCTCTCCTCCTATTTTGCTCTGACTTCTCTCTATTTATTCTTGGCATGTTCTTGCCAAGAATCAATGCGAGGGGAGAGAGAAGTCAGAGCAAAATAGGAGGAGAGAGAGTCGATTTATTAAATGAACTCAGCGTGGAGTTGAGATGTAGATCGTGTCGATTACAAGGAGAAATGGGCTGCTATTTATAGCAGCAATAAATGCGATGAGGGGACACGTGTCAGTAATCCAACGGCCGAAGGGTCACATCAGCCTAGTGGCACCGGCAGTGGTACGTCAACCGCATTGAGTGCGGTTGGCGGATGCGACGTGGCATTAAATGCGGTGGTTGGCTGTCTCTAAAAGGAATCTTCGATGATTGAGTTTGTTCAGCCGAAGGCTCCTCGTGTAGCCGAGGGCTCCCTGTGTAGCCGAGGGCTCATTGTGTAGCCGAGGGCTCCTTGTGTAGCCGGGGGCTCCTCGTGTAGCCGAAGGCTTGGTTCAGCCGAAGGCTTCCCCTGTTGCTGAGGGCATGAGAATGCCGAAGGCTCATGTCTCCGCCCCGGTTTCTCCCAGCAGCTTCTTATGTCAGAAAAGGCTATCCTGCGAGTTTTGAAGCCTTCGGCCAAGGAGGCCGAAGGCACCCCAGTGTGTATTCTGGGCTACTTTGAAGCTTGGGCCGTTGTATGTGGGCCTGAGATGTCCTCTGGGCTCAATGGACTTGTGTAGGAGAAGTGGGAGTCTATGGGCCGGGGGTTCCTGGGCCATATACTCCATCAGGAGTCCCTCACTCCTTTTGCCGAAAGGTACTCGAGGGAAAAGGAGTAGATGCGTTGACTCTTCTGGAGGCTCCATCATCTCGCTGGGTGTCTTTGTTGGGGAACTCGTCTTCTCTTGATTGCCGAAGGCTTCCCTCAGTCCCTCACAGGTCGAGGGTTTTCTGAAGGAAGGTATTCATGACCTTCGAATGTTTGCCGGGGGCTCCCCTCAGTCCCTCATAAGTCGAGGGTTCTCTGATGGAGGCATAGATGTATTTCCCGCGTGCGTTGTGATGAGGGCTGCTTCATTTCCGCAAGCGATTTGGGGAAAACTTGTGATATCCTGCCTCTGCCGAAGGGTATATTGGAGCATGTACCCGGGGGGTTTCTGCTCTGATGCCCGGAGGTTATATGCGTCAATTGTAAATCTTTGCATGAGGGAATTTTTGTTGTGTATGATCCCCGAGGGGTGTATCCCAGTCCCCCACTCCTTTAGGCCGAAGGCAAGTTCGGGCTGAAGGAGTTATGATGAGTTGATGACCTCCCGAGGGTTGGTAATATTGATAAGCCCGGAGCTGCCACGGGCTCGAAGGCGTTTGGTGGAATTCATTGCCTGAAGGCTGTGGTGAGTGAGTAGCCGGAGGCTATCATTCGGGGGCATCCCAGTGTTGCCGAAATATAGTCGCTGTAATATAGCCGTTGGGAGAGGAGCACACGTGGCATGCTCCCGTTGGTTGAAGGTGGGCGGGTGCCATCCATTGGTTGAACCGGCGGCCCGTAATGATGGCCTTTTCAAATCGAGGCCCAGTTCTCGAGGCTGAAAGCCTATATATACCCGAACTCCGAACTCATTTGGTCTGTGCGTTTTAGAATTGAAGCGAAGCTCTGCCAAAATTTCTAGAGAGATAAAGTATTCCCTCCGATCAAACCCTAAGTCACAAGGTCAGTTCTTGCTCCGTTCCTTACTACCTTAGCATACTTTGCTTCTTTCTCCTTTGATCTTGTGTTTAGAGGTGTTAGGATAGCCTTCGGTAGGAACACTTAGGTAGTCTCCCTCAGTTACACTTCTCTCCCTTCAAAGTCATGTCCTCTCAAAGCGATTCCCAAGATATTTCGGGGGAGCCATCGGCACAACAGGAAAGCTACTCGGACGTGGAGTCCTCGAGTGCGCAGTCTTCGGCGAACAACGATTCAGCGGTTGCGGAGGAAGTCCAAAATAACCTTCGCACTGAGCTGGAGGCGGAGGAGTTTGAGCAGGTGGTAGAGGATGAAGAAATGGCCCTCGCGCTGCAGGTAGCTGAGGAAGAAGAAGAGAAGGAGAGACAAGAGGTCACAATTGCTGTCCTCCCGCTTCGTGGTGCCGGCGAGGCGAGCACCTCCCGGCCACTAGATCCGGAACCCCTCAGTGTTGCCGTGGGGAAGAAGAAAAAGAAGGCGAAGGTTTCTCAGAAGAAGAAGCAACCTGCCGCAGATTGTGGGAAGCCCGTGGGGATCCCCGAGGGACACTCTTGGTTGAATACAGCCGCCCTCGCGCTTAGGTCGAGGGCTGACCGGGCAGAGTGCTACGTTACTCAGCTGCATGTGGGCCCCTCGGCGGAGGTGATCGAACCGGGGCCCAACGATCTCCTCTCCCAGGCTCCCGAAGGATGTTTCGCCGTCCATGTGCTGTCGGTAGCCATGGGCCTCCGGTTCCCGCTGCATCCTTTCCTTCTCGAATATCTGAGATACGTGGGTTTAGCCCCTTGTCAGCTCACCCCGAATAGCCACTCGTACATTACAGGCTTTCTTCAGCTTTGCCGGGCCCGAGGGGTAACCGCGACCCTCGATCTATTTTTTCAAAGCTTCAACTTGTGCCGGGGGGGCCATACCAACTCCGAGGGGTTCGCAAACCTGCAGCAGCTTGCCCCTTGGAGGCTTTTTGATGATGTGCCTTCGTCTCACAAGGGGTGGAGGGACCGGTTCTGTTATGTCAAGATGGCAGAAAACCCGTTTCCGAGGGAACTGCGCAACCACTTCCGGCGGCATCCGAAGGTGGGAAGTGCCGCTCTTCAGAAGGAGGGGAAGAAGATTGCTGCTCTGCTGCCGGGGGCCACAAAGCACGTGACAGTCAAGGACTCTACTCTCCCGGAAGATCTGCTGGCCTTAGGCTTTCGGCGTTATCGCTTTCTGGGTGAAAAGGACGAACAGTACCCCGTCCTCGAGAGAGCCCTCGGTAGCATTGGAGGTAGTTACCGGAGGGTCCTGTTTTTTGTACTTAGGGTTTTTGGAGTTTCCTTATTTTCTTTCCTTTGTAGTTGACTCCTCTGGTCTGACTCTGTTGTTGTCTTGCAGGTGTAAGCATGGATGTCTCCAATTTCGCTGCCTTGAAGAAAAAGCTGGCTAAGGAGCCGAAGAAGAAGGAGACGGGAACTCAGAGGCCCGTCGATGTATTTTTTGAGAGAGAGGGGGCCACTCGGGTCCCGGAGGGTGAGGGTCCCTCCAAAGTTGTTGGTGCTGGTGCCGGCGCCGGGGGAGCCCAGGCGGAGCCCAAGAGAAAAAATGCCGGGAAGGGCGTGATGCCTCCGGAGAAGAAGAAAAAGAAGGGGGGCCCTGAGAAGAAGGACGCCCCCCTCGTCATTGTCGAAGAGCATTCCTCCTCCTCTCCCTCAGCAAATGCTCTTCCTCCCCCCGGGGACCAAGGCAACAACCTGGCTTGGCCCCGGGATGATGTGCAGTTCTCCATCACCAAGGGAACTGCCATCATGCATGGCACCCTCAACCCGAGGGAGTTCCTAAAGGGTGCCACGCCCCCGACTGACAAGTCGGTGCTCTCTAGGGCGAAGGATGACGCCCTCAGCGCCAAGGTGCTCCAAGCCTCCGTCACTGTAAGTTTCTCTCTCAACTTTTGTTTAGTTGATGGGCCTGGTGTATCTTTACTTTGCTGATCATGGCTGTATGACGGTTTTGACTTGCAGGCTGCCCTCGGGCTTGGGGAACTGCTCCAGAGGATGGAGCAATACCAGGTGCAGAAGTTGCAGGCTGACGAAGCCCTGGCGGAGTCCCGGCGGCAACTCCAAGAAGCCCAGGAGACCCTCCGGCTGGAAAAGATGGCTTTCAACGGCATCCTTGAAAATAATAAAGTGATCGCCAGAGCCGAGGGGAAGGCCGACGCAGAGAAGGCCGCTGCCGAAGCCGCCAAGGTTGCCGCCGAGGAGGCCGAGGCAGCCAGGAAGGAGGCTGTCGCCGAGGCGGAGAAGCAAGCCGTTGCCGCCTTCGCCGCTGAGGGCTGGAAGGCCGAGGACCGGAAGGAATGGGTGGCCTCGGTCATAGGACAGGGGGTGGATGATTGGGTGAAAGGCCCCGGTGCCGAGTGGCTAGCCCGAAAGGGCAAAGAT